TTAAAAGGCTTTGCAACCCCTCAGCATTATTTTCTTGCATGTTTCACCTTACACCATATTAAAAATATTAAAGTACACCTACATTCCATGTTAACTTTATAGAAAAATAATGGTTAACATAGCGTGTTTACTGTGTATGAGGACTCTTTTAAGTGCTTTACATATACTCATTTAGTTCTCACAATCCCACGAGGTTGATATTATTATTATCCCACTTTACAGAGTAGTAAGCCAGTTACTTTTGTCCACAGTAAATGGCAAAGGTGCATTCAAACCCACTCTGGTGCTAGAACTATTTTATTTTTTTATTGATTTCAGATGGGAAGGGAGAGGGAGAGATTGAAACATCGATGATGAGAATCATTGATTGGCTGCCTCCTGCATGCCCCACACTGGGGATCGAGCCCACAACCTGGGCACATTCCCTGACTGGGAATCGAACTGTGACCTCCCAGTTCATAGGTTGATGCTCAATCACTGAGCCACACTGGCCAGATTCTAGAACTTTTAATACCACTAAATTGAGTTGAAGATGACTTGACTTAAAGTTATGTTTTGTAGCCATTTAATCAAACAGTCAATTAACTGTTTTGTTTTCATTTATTTAGATATTTAATTTCTTACAATATTTTGTTAAATTTATTCCTAAATTTTATTCTTTTTGAAGCTATTATAAATGAAAATGTTTTCTTAATTTCAGATTGTTTACTGCTATTGTATAAAAGTACAATTGAATTTTGTATTTTGATCTTGTACTATGAACCTTATTGAATGCTTAGTAGCTCAAGATTTATTTCTTGCTGAAACCAGTTTGGCACAATGGATAGAGCATTGGCCTGTGGACTGAAGGATCTGATGTTTCTAACTCTCTCTCTCTCTTTTCCTCTCTGTAAAAAAATCAATAAAATGTATTTTTTTAAAAATATTTCTTTTTATGGATTTCTTAGGATTTTCTAAATACAATTGTATTTGTTTGTTAGGGCAGTACTATGGACTGTGCAATTTAAGCAACAAAAAAATGTATTGTCTCACAATTCTAGAGGCTGGAAGTCTAAAATCAAGGTGTCAGCAGGGTTATCCTTGATAGATAGTGGTCTTCCTTTTATACATTATCTGTTCCAATTTCCTTTTTGTTGAAAGGATCCTGTAAGCATCATACCCATTCTTATTCCTTTTGCCTTCTTCCCCTTTGTTGTTTGTTTGTTAATCCTCACCTGAGGATGCTTTTCCATTGATTTTTAAAACATTTTAAAATATATTTTACTGATTTTTTACAGAGGAAGGGAGATAGTTAGAAACATCGATGAGAGAGAAACATTGATCAGCTGCCTCCTGCACACCCACTACTGGGGATGTGCCCGCAACTAAGGTACATGTCCTTGACCAGAATCAAACCTGGGACCTTTCCGTCCGCAGGCCGACGCTCTATCCACTGAGCCAAACCGGTTCCAGCCCATTGATTTTTAGAGAGTGGAAGAGAGGGGGAGAGACAGGAGAAACATCAATGTGAGAGACACAGCTATTGAAGCCTACAACAGAGGTAAATGCCCTTGACTGGAATGGAACCTATGACTCTTCAGTCTGAGGGCCAGTGCTCTACCCACTGAGAAACCCGGCTAGGGCAAATTTTTATTTATTTAAAATAAATTTTTATTGATTTCAGAGAGGAAGGGAGGGGGAGAGATAGAAACATCAATGATGAGAGAGAATCATTGATTGGCTGCCTCCTGCATGCCCCCTACTAGGGATCGAGCCTGAGCACGTGCCCTTGACCAGAATCGAAGCCAGGACCCTTCAGTCTGAAGGCTCTATCCACTGAGTAAAACCGACTAGGGCAAATTTCTTCTTTTTATCAGGGTAGCATTTATGCCGAAACTGGTTTGGCTCAGTGGATAGAGCGGAGGTTCGATTCCAGTCAAGGGCATGTAACTTGGTTGCGGGCACATCCCCAGTAGGGGGTGTGCAGGAGGCAGCTGACCGATGTTTCTCTCTCATCAATGTTTCTAACTCTCTATCCCTCTCTCTTCCTCTCTGTCAAAAATCAATAAAATATATTAAAATAAATAAATAAATAATAGAGGCAGCAGTCATATTGAAACCTATTGACCCTATTGACCTCACCATACAAGGTCATATTCTGAGGTTAGTACTTCAACTCAATTTTTCCTTGTGTGTGTGTGTGTGTGTGTGGAGAGACACAATGACCCAATTCTACCCCTAACAAGATCATGCCATCGGCGAATAGAGATGGTTTTGTTAGGGGCAGAAATATTAATCATGCTCTGTAAACTGTAATTGTTGCTCTGATTAGAGAAAGACATTCCAACCTGGCTGAGAGCTGTACGCCCCAGGAAGAGGGAGTTAACCTGGGAATGCAGACCATCCTCCTTTTCCTAGAACTGCCCATCATCACAAGATTAACAACTTTGTAGCTAAGAACAATAGAGCACTGACCCTTTGCAAGCCCCAGCGTGTGACCTGTAACCATCATACCCATTCTTATTCCTTTTGCCTTCTTCCCCTTGTAATCTTTGTGCTTCTACCCAATACAAGCAGCTGGCTACAGAGGGGTGCTGAGTAGATTTTCATGGATGACCTGCTGCTCTCCCATGCTGCTGGCATTACTGGAATAAATGCTTATATGTAATTCACCCCTGCCTCTGCTGAATTGGCTCAAGCAGTGACAGGCAGCCCGGACCTATTGGTTGTCTGGTTGTCTGTTTTACTCCTTCCATTCCAATCTGGATTCCTTTTATTTCTTTTTCTTGCCTGATCATCCTGGCTAGACCACCAATACAATGTTATACAGAAGAGACTAGGGTGGATATTCTTGTTCCCTTACATTTTTCCCCCCATTTTTGTTTCTGGTAAAGCACCAAGCACTAAAATTAATTTGCTTGCTTCCTTACTTTAGGAGAAATGAATAAAGGACTTCCTGTTCCCACTATCCTACTTCAGATCAGTTTCTTCTCTCACCCAGATTACTGCCCCATTCTATGTCTGGCCTCTTAGCCTCCACCAATCCAGTGTTTTTTCTAAAACTCAAATCTAATTCAGCTCCATACTTACTACTTCTGTGATCTTGAGTCAATGACTTAAACTCTGGTAAGTCTCTTTTAAATATATATATTATTGATCCCCTACTGGGGATGTGCCTGCATCCAAGGTACATGCCCTTGACCAGAATCGAACCCCAGACCCTTCAGTCCTCAGGCTGACACTCTATCCACTGAGCCAAACCAATCTCTTTTTTGTCTCTAGTAACAGAGTGATAATAACAGCACCTCCATCCCAGACTGATGGAGACAAGTCATGTACAACTTACCGGGATGCCTGGTGCACAGTAAGTGCTTCAGGGATGCCTGCTATTAGTTTTCCTTTCAATAGTAACATAAAATTTACACCAATAGCTATGTCTAAGGGCCACATGCTGTGCCAAGTGCAGCCGAGGAAGCTTACCTGCTTGGCCCCAAGTCATGCAGGGAGGCATCGGCCTGGACTCTGAACCACCTACTCTCTCTCTCTCTCTTTCTCTCTCTCTCTCTCTCTCTCTCTCTCTCTCTCTCTCTCTCTCTGTCTCTCTCTGTCTGTCTCTGTCTCTGTCTGTCTCTGTCTCTGTCTCTCTCTCTCTCTGTCTCTCTCTCTCTCTCTCTCTCGATCTTGCACTGTTCTCTGTCCTCTTAAAATGCTAGTTGCTAAGCAAAGCCTTCAGCATGAAGCCCGCTGGCTGCTCCTACTGCCCCTGGGGCCTGCAGAGGTCGCCTTTGCAGCCAGTCCTTCTGGGTTCTCTGGCCACCAGCCCCCTTCCTAGGAGCTGCAGAGCTCAGCCTCAAAGGCTGGCGCTTTCTGCTCCCGTAGTGAGACGCTGGCCTCCACCTCACTAGTTCCCATTGCCCTTCTGGAAACCTTATTTATTTATTTCTAAATATATTTTATTGGTTTTTTACAGAGAGGAAGGAAGAGGGATAAAGAGCAAGAAACATCGATGAGAATCATGGATCAGCTGCCTCCTGCACACTCCCTACTGGGGATGTGCCCTCAACCAGGCACATGCCCTTGACCAGAATCAAACCTGGGACCCTTCAGTCCCCAGGCTGATGGCCCTATCCAGTAAGCCAAACCAGCTAGGGCTCTTTTTTTTTTTTTTTTTTTTTTTAATATTTTTTATTGATTTCAGAAAAAAGGAGAAGGGGCGGGGGGGGGGGGGAGAGAGAGAAACATCAGTGATGAGAATCATTGATTGGCCGACTCCTGCACGCCCCACGCTGGGGATCCCCACGTAGGTCCTCTGACCGAGAACCGTGACCTCCAGGTTCAAAGGTCGGTGGTCAGCCACCGGCCACGCCGGCTGCAGGGCCTGGAAGCCTCCCCGTAACCACCCACCGCCACGAGGGAGGGTTTTCTCCGGAGACCTCGCCGCGCTGGCTCCCCGGCGCCTCGCTCCTCTGTCCCTACACTGTGACTCCGACTTCTTTGACTCAACATTTACGCAAATGCCCAACACTTCCCACAGAAAGGGCTCATCCGGGCAATGAACATAGAATTGAAACATTGAGCGCTGTCTCAATGAACCTTTATGGATAGCCTGCCTTTAACGACGCTGGTAATGTTTTCAGCCCCTCCCCTCGATTTCCCCTTCCATTCGCGAGTACCTAAGAAGCCGGCTCCTTTACAAAGAAATCCTAAGGGATCAGCCAGCATAGCCGGCGACTGCGGGGGGCGGGGCCATTGACACAGACAAGATGGCGGCCGCCCTCAGGCTGCGCGTCCCCACCCACTCAGGGCGGAGGGCTGCGTCACGTGACCCGCCCCTGCCCGGCCCCGCCCCCTGTCGCAGTGCCTGACGGGAGGCAGAGCGGCGAGCGAGGGCGTCGGCCATTTTGTGTCTGTTTCCTGTGGGACGCGGCGGTAGCCGTTGGGTCTGAAGAGCCAGCGGCTTTCGCCTCGACTTTCCTGCCTATTTTCTCCTCCCTTTTTTGCTTTATCGGCGGGGCGCAGTTATGGGCCGTAAGAAGAAGAAGCAGCTGAAGCCGTGGTGCTGGTATCCTTTGTCCGTTTGGAGTCGCGGCCGTGCCGCGGCGCCGGTGGTTGGTGACGGGGTCTGGGAGAGGCCTGGCTTTGGCCTAGGGCGGAGAGTGTCTGGGATCTAGGCCTGTGGTGGGGGGTGAGGGGTAACCTGGCGGCTGGAGTCGGATTTGCGAAGTCTTTCAGGAAAATGGGGTCCCTAGGGTGGGAGGCTCTGCCGGTTGTGGGGCGTTGGGCTCGGTGACTCAGGAGATTCCAGGTTTGGAGCGAGCGGTGACCCGCCGGGAGGCGGCCCGGACCCCTCCGTCAAGGACAGTGTCCCCGGAGGACTGTTGGGCTGTTCCCCGGGGTTTGGGAGATGGTTCAATCAAGGGATTTTCTTCAAGTAAAATACTCCGGTTGGCGCTGTGGCTGGTGAGGGGAAAGCTTCCGGAGCCAGTCAGGCACTTTTTTCCCCGTGTTTTTATTTTTAAAAAGAATCGATGGATTAGTCTACTCGGATTTCAAGTATTCCTCCCCCCCCCCCTCTTTTTTTTTTTTTTTTTTTTTTTTTTTTTTGCGCGCGGGGTGTGTGTGGCGGGGAAAGAACTAGCTTCCGCGTCTCAACTGGCGCTTTAGTTTTCTCTTTGGGGCGGAGATTTTTGTAGCTAGCAAGCTTGGTAGGGCCAAAAAAAAAAAAAAAGAACGCCTATTATCCCTAAAAACTGCTACAGAACTGCGTTTATTTTTGTAATAGTTGAACGGTCACGGATTTTGTAATGTTCTTTTAGGGAAATCTTACTACTGTTGAGGTAATTCTGCTTTATGGGTGTAACGCATTGAGTTTAAATACGGTCCTTGGCAACATAAGTGCATAGGGAATTGAAAACTTTATAGGTTAAATTGAGTCATTCACTTTGAATATTTTTAGATTATAAAATAAACTTAAATTCTAAACATTAGGTAAATCTTCATTTCTCGATTATTTTTCATTATCTAATGAATGAATTCTTTTTTTAATATATATTTTATTGATTTTTTACAGAGAGGAAGTGAGAGAGTTAGAGAGCTAGAAACGCGGATGAGAGAGAAACATCGACCAGCTGCCTCCTGCACACCCCCTACCGGGGATGTGCCCGCAACCAATGTACATGCCCTTGACCGGAATCGAACCTGGGACCTTTCTGTCCACAGACCGACGCTCTACCACTGAGCCAAACCGGTTTCGGCTCTAATGAATGAATTCTACATACTTGTAAATCTGTCTTGACATGAAGTCCGGGATTTTTTTTTTTAACATTGAGCCCCTCTAATCCACAAGACGCATTTGTAAATATTGAAATGGTGAACAAAAGAAAAGTTAATTTCATATAAACCTCTGTTAAACACAAAAATTAAAAAAAAAACAAAAAACTGTTAAAATGTGTTTAGGAGTGATGAAGAGAGTATGGGCTTCCAGGAAATTCCATGGCAAGTTAATCCCTAATTTATAATAAATATCAAAAAGTTTCTGTAAAGTGTCTTTTTGCTTTTAGCTGTTTCTATATTTTAATGGTATTGCTATTTAATGTTATAGGGCAGGTGTATTTTTTAATAGGCAGCATCATTGTGTTAGTTTTGTGCCTTAACACTCTTGATCAGGTACTGTAATAGAGATTTTGATGATGAGAAGATCCTTATACAGCACCAAAAAGCAAAACATTTTAAGTGCCATATATGTCATAAGAAGTTGTACACAGGACCTGGCTTGGCTATACACTGCATGCAGGTAAGGATTTTACTCCTGTATTTAATTTTTACTTCCTTGTGATATGGAAACAATATTGGGGGGAAATTGTGAATGTTTATTTCTTTGATAATTGTAGGATATTTTTGTTTATTGCAAAAGATCAGATTAAATGACCAGTTTAAGAAAACACATAGATGTTGTTTTTTTAATTGATTTAGGGAGAGGAAGTGAGAAGAGGAGAGATAGAAATATCAATGATGAGAAAGAATCATTGATTGACTGCCTCCTGGACTCCCACACTGGGGATTGAGCTTGCAACCTGGCATGTGCCCTGACTGGGAATCGAACCCAGGACTGACACTCTTCCACTGAGCCAAACCAGCAAGGGCAGCAAACCTGTTTCTTTAGTCATTGAAAAGAAACGATTTCTTTATGTTTAGAGTTTTATAGGTAAACTAGACGCATGGTGCAGGAAAATTTGTGCACTTGGGGGTGTCCCACTCAGCCAGGCCTGTTCCCTGCCTCGGTCCTGGAGCCCTCAGGGGGTGTCCACCTGCTGGCTTAGGTCCGCTCCCTGGAGGATTGGGTCTAAGCTGACAGTCAGATGTCCCTCTGCCAGCCAGGGAACCCTCGGAGGATGTCCGTCCACATGCCAGCTTGGGCCGTTAGTTGGGCATCTTTAGCGCTGCCACAGAGGCGGGAGAGGTTCCTGCCACTACTGCTGTGCTGGCCAGCCAGGAGCCAGCTTCTGGCTGAGCAGTGCTCCCCCCTGTGGAAGCGCACTGGCCACCAGAGGGCAGCTCCTGCATTGAGTGTCTGCCCCCTGGTGGTCTGTGTGCATAATAGCGGCTGATTGTTCCACTGTTGTGGTCAATTTTGCATATTACCCTTTTATTATATAGTATTATATAGGACTTGAGGCCTAATGCACGAAATTTGTGCAAGGGACTCGTCCCTCGCATCCCAGGTTTCATCCGGACTGTTATTCAGCTGTTCAGTCTAATTAGCATATTAGGTCTTTATTGTATAGGATAGGGTATTTTAATTATCTTTTTAAAATATATTATTGATATCAGAGATGATGGGCGAGGGAGAGAGAGAAACATCAATGATGAGAGTCATTGATCTGCTACTTAAATTATCTTTCATTCTAAGGTTATATTGGTGACAGGTTGAGATCACAAGACATATCTCCTCAGCACTTGAGTTAAAAAGTCAGGGATCAATGATTTAAATTTGTGGGCAGTCTCACCAGTTCTCATCCCCCAAGAATTAGTACTTAATTAGCTGCCATTACTCACTGCCATTGAAGGATTTGTTATAATCTGTTGCTTGGGGTCAGGTTTATGTTAATAATTTATTCCTAGGTCTCTTTTGGAGTGGTGTATTATTACATTTAATAGTTTCTTGATTTCTTAAATCTTTTTACTACTAGTTAAGGAGAGCTTCGTAATTTTTAAAGAGCTCATGAATACCATTATGTGTTGTTACTATTGCCAATTTTAGAGCTGCCTGAATTTTTGTCTAATTGGACCTTAGAAAGTTCTGAGATGAGCAAATCTCTATTGGAAAATACTGTTCATAGAAGCAGGTAAATTAAAACAAGATGTTGCTCTCCTGAGTCTTAAAAAAAATAAGTTTATATAGCTCCTTCACTCTAGTTACATCACCACAATAATTTAACATGTATTCAGAAATATTTGAGAACCTACAGTCATTAAGTCTCATGTAGCTATTCAAAAGAAAATTAAAATTCCTCAATCCGCCCAGGCTGGTAAGAGCATCGGCCCACAGACTGAAGGGCCGAGTGTTCCATTTCTGGTCACTGTTGCAGGTTCAATCCCCAGTGGTCTCGGCAGGAGTACACCAGTTGATGTGTGTCATGTTTCTCTCCCACCCTTTCTAAAAATCAATGGAAAAAATATCCTTATTCCTTGGATGACGGTTAAAAAAAAAAATTCCTGCCGCATTATAGCCTTTTTTTTTTTTTTTTTTACACGAGAGGGAGGAACATTGATCTGTTGTCTCCATACGTACCCTGACCTGGTGCATGAGGTGAAGCTCTTATCACACTAGCCAGGGCTGCTTCACCTTTTTAAAGGATCATTTTGGCTACAAAGTTGAGAATAGATTACACACACAGTACAGTGAGGCCACATAGGAGACAGAGTATTCTAGATGAAATATGATGGTGACAGAGCCAGAATTTGCTGATGTGGAATATGAGAGAAAGTGAGGGGTGAAGAATGATCTGAAGGTTTTTGACTTGAGCAATGTGAAAAATGACACTATTACATACTAAGATTGGAAAGCTGCAGGAAGTATAGGCTTAGTGATAAAGACACCAAGATTTTTTTTTTTTTTTTAATGAATTTTTATTTATTTCAGAGAGGGGGGGAAAGATAGAAACATCAGCGATGCGAGAGAATCATCCACCTGGGCATGTGCCCTCTGACTGGAATCAAACCTGGGACCCTTCAGTCTGCAGGCCGACACTCTATCCACTGAGCCAAATTAGCTAGGACTTTAATGTGTTTTTGTTGATTTTAGAGGGAAGGAGAGAAACGTTAATGTTTGGGAAAAGATTGGCTGCCTCCTGCACCCCTCTTACTGGAGATTGAGCCTGCAACCTGGGCATATGCCCTGATGGGGAATCAAACCAGCGACCTCTTAGTGCATGGGATGATATTTACCAACTGAGCCACTAGAGTGGCCAGGGCCCAATATTGTTTTTATGTTAATTTTGAATGTGGGTATGTTAGTTTTGAAAAGATTCATTGACTATCCAGGTGAAGATGTCACATAAGCAGTTGGATCTACAAGTTGAGTTCAGAGGGGTTGGAGGTAGAATTAAAAATTTGGAAGGACACAGTATAAGGATGGCTATTTGAAGCCATATCTTTTCTTCTTAGGGAATCCTATAATAAAAACATAATATGCAAATTGAACTGCGGAATGACCAGTTGGCAGGGGGCAGGGCCAGCCAAGGAAGGCTTGTGCCAGTGGGCAGAGGGAGGGGATAGTGATGGAGTGGGAGGAAAGTAGCAGCTACCAGTGGCTGTGGAGGCACAATGGATGGGCGCTGGGCCTAAGCCATCAGTAGGACATCCTCTGAGGGCTTCTCGACTGTGAGAGGGTGCAGGTCAGGATGAGGGGGGACCCGCCCCTCAAGTGCATTAATTTTGAATTTTCACAATCTGGGCCTCTAGTAGAATATAGATAGAAAAATGCAAGGATTCCATGTTGGGCCACTCCCGGCATTTAGAGGTCAGAAGTTTTAAAGAAGTCATTCAAGAAGAGTGAAAGGGTAGGAACACCAAGACAGTAAGTACCGCCAAAACCGGTTTGGCTCAGTGGATAGAGCATCTGCCTATGGACCGAAAGGTCCCGGGTTTGATTCCGGTCAAGGGCATGTACCTTGGTTGCGGGCACATCCCCAGTGGGGGGGGGGGGGGTGCAAGAGGCAGCTGGTTGATGTTTCTCTATCGTTTCTAACTCTCTATCCCTCTCAATTCCTCTCTGTGTAAATCAATAAAATATATTTTTTTTAAAAAAACACAAAAAAACCCCAGTAAGTACCCTAGAAGCCAAATGAAAATGTTTTCAAAGAGTGAGTTAATTTGACTATGTCAAATGCTAGTGGTAAGCCAAGTAAGAACATGACTAAGATTGGATTGATCAGAGTGGAAGGTCATTGTTCCACTTTCCGAGAAGGATTTCCTAGAATGATAATGAAAGTTAGGAGTAATTTTAAAAGAAAATGAGGTCTGCAGCCATACTACACTGAATGCCCGATCTCTTAAGCTAATCAGTGTCGGGCCTGGTTAGTACTTGGATGGGAAGCTGCCTGGGAATACTGGGTTCTGTAGGCTAAGAGAAAATGAGAGCTTCCATCTTGCGTCCTAGAGAGTGTGCGCTTATTCTCAACTGGTCTGCTCAAGACCTAAGCATCTACTCTAGTATCCCTTGTAGTCCCATTTCCTCTCCAACAAGATAAAAGAAACTATCATGAACCAGAAAAAACTGGCCAAACTGCAGGCACAAGGTGTGCATGGTGGGGAAGGAACTGTTTGCAGAAGGCGGTTCACAGAACAGCTATAGCAGATGATAAAAAGACTTTAGTTCTTAAAGAAGGTAGGGTATTGAGGAGGTGAGTATGTTCACAAACCAAGGAACAGTAATCCATTTTACCAGCCTTAAAGATCAGGCAGTGAACACTTCACTATTACAGGGCATGTTGAGACAAATTGCTGATACAATGCTACCTAGCATCTTAATTCATCAGGGTGCAGACCTCCAACTAGTTTAAAGAGCTGTGCCCAGACAATTTGGATGGAAAAGCACCACTTTCTACCAGAGAAAAAGATGAAGTTTCAGATCTTGTGGAGAATTTTGATGAGGCTTCTAAGAAAGAAGCATAATGAATTGAGTCAACTTCTGAAAAAGATTAAACTATTGAAGTTACTGTGAAGCTACTGTTTTATATTATGACTGCTTTTTCAAATTTTATTCATGCATGCGTTAAAATCTACAGCTCTTTTCAGTTTTTACTTATATACAAATTGTTCTTTGCCTGGTTTATAAAAAGAAGAAAATGGGAAAGTAGAGGCATTCTTTCAAGGAGTTGTACTATAGAGAAGAGATAAAATGGAGGAAGCTGGAAGGAGATTAGTTGAGAAATTATTAGTAGTATCTTTGACTAAGTGATTCTGTTTATACATAGTCTTACTGTAATTTCAGAGTAACCTGTGAGATGAGTATGTCAGTTAAATCAGACATCTTCCAATTTTATAGAAGATAAACCTAGGACATTAGTAATTTAGAAGGCTGATGTCACTCTTGCTCCTTTCCAACCGAGACCATAGACAAAATTCGAAGTAAATCATGTTATTTTTCTCTTCCAACATCTTTTAATTAGTATGTTTATTCTTGCCCTTATCACTTAGAAATGTAGTGAAACTAGTTAATGTGCTTGAGAATGTAATTGCATTTCTTTTTTTTAATATATATTTTTATTTCAGTGAGGAAGGGAGAGGGAGAGAGCTAGAAACATCAATGATGAGAAAGACTCATTGATCTGCCTCCTGCACAGCCCCAACTGGGATCAAGCTCACAACCTCAGCATGTGCTCTTAACCAGAATTGAACCTGGTCCTCAGGTGACCTTCTACCCGTTGAGCCAAACCAGCTAGGGCTAGCTAGACCCAGTCACTCAACCAACATACTAAATGGTCTCTAAGTAATTTGAAATGACTCTCTGAAATACTTTTATGAGATACTTTTACCTATCTGATGGAGATTTTTGTTTGTTTTTTTAATGTTAGGTGCATAAAGAGACTATAGATGCTGTACCAAATGCAATACCTGGGAGAACAGACATAGAGTTGGAAATATATGGTATGGAAGGTATTCCAGAAAAAGACATGGATGAAAGAAGACGGCTTCTTGAGCAGAAAACCCAGGGTAAAGGTTAAAGTATACTTTTTCTTTTCTTTTTTTTTTTTTTTTAATATATACTTTAATTGATTTTTTACAGAGAGGAAGAGTGATAGCGAGTTAGAAACGTCGATGAGAAAGAATCATCAACCAGCTGCCTCCTGCACACCCCCACTGAGGATATGCCTGCAACCAAGGCACATGCCCTTGACTGGAATCGAACCCAGGACCCCTTAGTCCATAGGCCGACACTATCCACTGAGCCAAACCGGTTTCAGCTAAAGTATACTTTTTCTTAAATAGCTTCACTAGTGAGAGTATTGCCACTTTAAAGTATAAATTTAATGATATATTTTATTGATTTTTTTTTTTAATAGAGAGGAAAGGAGAGAGAGGGAGAGTGTTAAAAACATTGATGAGAGAGAAACATCGATCAACTGCCTCCTGCATACCCTCTACTGGGGATGTGCCCGCAACCAAGGTACATGCCCTTGACCAGAATCGAACCTGGGACCTTTCAGTCTGCAGGCTGACGCTCTATCCACCGAGCCAAACTGGTTTAGGCTTGAGTTATATTTTTCTTTGTCTTATGTTTGAAGTTGTGTATTGATTTTTATATGTATTATCTTCCTATAATAAAAGGCTAATATGCAAATTGTTCCCTCGACCTGGAATTCAACCAGGGGGCAGAGAGGTCCGTCAACCACCCCGTGTTGTACCCCCTCTCCCCACTCACCCAGTCTGATTGGCCCCCACCTGTGCACGAATTTGTGCTCCAGGCCTCTAGTTTATAATAATAAAAGCATAATATGCTAATTAGATCAGACATCCTTCCAGACGAAGCTGCAGCTGGGGGAAGGAAGACCTACTCTTGCACAGATTTCGTGCGTGGGCCTCTAGAGTGTGTGTGTGTGTGTGTGTGTGTGTATGTAAATAATACTGTTTGGATAATTTCAAATATTTTATTCTAAACTGAATTCCAAGTGGAATTAACAAGTGCTGAGGTCTTGGAAAATAAAGGTAGTTTGTATTTGTTTTTAATTAATTTGAGAACAAAAGAGACACTGATTTTGTTATTCCACTTATGCATTCAATGGTTGATTTTTACATGCCTTTACCAGGGATTGAACCCTCAACCTTGGCTTTTGGTATGATGCTCTAACCAACTGAGCATCCCCGGCCTTGGCAGAGGTAGCTTGTTTTGATTTACGCAACCACTAATTATATACATTTTTTTTTTTTAATTTGACTTTGCAACCACATACTATCCAGTTGATAGCTGTTGTTAGTCACCTATGGAACTTTTAGTTTTGAAATATTGCACGGAGGTCAGGCCTCTACCGTAGTTTACCATTTTGGCTGGAATAGAAAGCTGTGTTGTTGTTTTTTTGTTGTTTTGTTTTTGTTTTAAATAAAACTGACTTAGAATTATTTTTACCTGTCATAAAATAGGTAGTTGCTTAATACAAGTTGAAAACAAATAATTGAAAACAAAAAGTTGCTTAATATAAATATGAAAACATATTTGAAGAGTAAAGAATAATATTAACTGAAATATTTTTGGAAGAAAAATTTTATCAGCTAGTTGCACTGAAATAATTTTCTTTTCTCTCTTAAAAGAATTTTATTTTCATTTTTTTATTAAGACATTATATGTGTACATATCTCACCATTGTGAAATAATTTTTTAAAGTGTTGAATGTCTTAAACTTGCTTTGATTCCCTGTCCCCCCTTCTCTATGGGAAAATTAATTAAAACTTATCTAACAGAGAGTCAAAAAAAGAAGCAGCAAGATGATTCTGATGAATACGAAGATGACGACTCTGCAGCTTCAACTTCGTTTCAACCACAGCCTGTTCAGCCCCAACAAGGCTATATACCCCCAATGGCACAGCCAGGACTACCACCAGTTCCAGGAGCACCAGGAATGCCTCCAGGTAGCATATAGAGTTTCTTACAATTTAACATTCTTAGGATATCATTGATACAGTGTTAGAAGTATTATATTCTTCATCCTAACCCTTTAATATTAATTTGATTTTTTTGTTGTTAAAATTGTTTATAGGCATACCTCCATTAATGCCAGGTGTTCCTCCTCTGATGCCAGGAATGCCACCAGTTATGCCAGGCATGCCACCTGGGTAAGAAAACTCTTTTTAAATGGCTTGTGGACTTGTGCCTAGTAATGATCTTTCAACTTGAGTGTTACATGAATTAAATGTGACTTTGCATTTTTTCCTCCTAAAAGGTGTGGGCTCTATAAATATTAAAATTTCTAATAACTGGATCTACCAATAAATTTGAGGAATATAAATCTGTCTCTGATGAGAATAGATTTTTTGTGTTTTAGGATGTATGTAGGCAGCCATCTGCTTCAATTGCATTTGGTATAATTAAAGTAGTTGGCTGTAGAGTTGTGAGTTTCTGAGATTCAGAACTGTCCATGACACTGTTGGTTGTGACAAGCAAATTCTGTAAATGATTTTAAGTATTTGTCAAATCATCAAGAACTAAAAATAAATATGAGGTGCTTGTGCCCATCACTTTTACTTAAATGTTGTTGGATGTGACAGGTAAACAATACACTTTCCCACTGTATTTTGAAAATCACAGTTAGATTTTGATTTTGTCATACATTTTCACAGATTGCATCATCAGAGAAAATACACCCAGTCATTTTGCGGTGAAAACATGTAAGCATCTCATTCATGATGTAATTCAGGAGGTATAATCATAATGTCATTTTCTTGTGTGTTTAATGGGATCTATTCAATTGACTTCAGAAATTTTCTAACCTTCCTCACTCAAACTTCTTACAACTGGCAAAATGGTTGACACAAGTCTCTGAAAGGAGGGATATAAAACATCTTTGAAGAAATAGTAATAAATCCGTATATAAAACAAATATTTTCTAAACATGTAGCTATTTTCTCCTAACTGCTAAAAGTAATGGGATTTAGTAAAAAGGGTTGGTATTTAAGAAAGACCATATAATCTTTTACCAAATTATATGCTTTATGTTTATAGGAGGTAATCAAACTTTTTCTAACGAACTCAATTTATAAAAGTTAATCTTCTGACTAAAGTCCTAAATCAAGAATTTACAAACTTAAATTTTTTTTAAGTGCAGTGGACATTGGTATTTGAAGATGAGCTCTTTTATGGGGAGAGAAAAAAAAAAATAGAGGTTTTTACGTCATGCTATAGTGTTACATGCAAAGTAAAAATTAGGCAATCTGAGTTTACATTTGACTATCTTTAATATTGGTGATAGTTTTTCTGTGCCCTCCAAAATAATTTTATCCCCACAATGTACATTCAATATTTCCCTTTTCAAAAATCTGGTGACTCTAAAGTAGAAACTTCTTTTTTATTTATATTCTGTGTGGATATTTTTCAAGTAAGATAAAAGATGATTTTGCTTCCCAGTTGCACATATTTTAGATGAGGCCTTCTTGTATATATGGAGAATAGCATATAATATATTTATTATTCCTGATGACTTTAAATGTATTAAAATGCTTTTTGGGGAGGTTTTTTTTTTTTTTTTAAGACTGACTTACTCTTACCCCATCTTACTGGTAAACCCAAGAGTTTGCTGGTTTTTAGGGGGATTATTTTGATAGGATTATTTTTATTGTGTTGTCTGTTCTTTCAGCTTGATTTCAATATTAGGGGTCAAATTCAAGTCTTATCTGTTGTTTCAGGATTTAGCCAAAATATTTTCTATGGTTTATACTGTTAATTAACTTTAGATGTTTCTTGAACTTTGCTTTCTGACAGAATGATGCCAATGGGTGGAATGATGCCACCTGGACCAGGAATACCACCTCTTATGCCTGGTATGCCACCAGGTAAGAAATGTTAGACATTTCCAATCAAGGGCATATTCGCTTCCCACACAGAGCACATGCTCAGGTTGTGGGCTTGATTCCCAGTGTTGGAGCATGCAGGAGGCAGCCCATTAATGATTCTCATATCATTGATGTTTCTCTCTCCCTCTCACTCTCCTTTCCTCTCTCAAATAAATAAAAATAAAGATGTATTTTTAAAAAGTAAAACAATATTATAGAATAACCACCAGTGTTCATTTGATAATCTGCAGTGAACATTTTAAGTTATGTTGAAGTTTAAAGAATGAACTAGTGATACATTTTAGGGAAAGTTGTTTAAAGGAATAACTTAGTTTTTTGGAAAATTCATGGATATTTGACTTAATCACCTTTTTACTGTAATTTGGATTATAGTTAAGAGAATTCTAGTTGGTGCAATTCTCTAAGTTTAAAGAATTGGTTTGCTAAATCAGTATCAGTTAAGCTTAATTGCTGGTTTGCTCACATACAGGGTCTCTAGTGGCATCTTTCTTTTTTTTTAAAATATATTTTTAATTGATTTTTCACAGAAAGGAAGGGAGAGGGACAGAGAGTTAGAAACATCGATGAGAGAGAAACCAGCTGCCTCCTGCACACTTCCCATTGGGGATGTGCCCACAACCAATGTACATGCCCTTGACCGGAATCGAACCTGGGACACTTCAGTCCGCAGACCAACGCTCTATTCTAGTGGTATCTTTCATTTCACAACATTCTGGAGACAACTTTGAGGCAAGATTATTTCAAAGGACAAATGCCCAAGTTCTTTGAATTTCATCGAGTTCAGAAGTCAGTTATTAGTGACTTTATAGTATGAAAGTATTTTTAATATGTATATTGTAACATCAGTTTTGGAAAAATATTTTTTTCTGAACTAAATGCTTCCAACACTGAGGCCTCCTCCCAACATTTCTTCTATACAGGCATGCCCCCTCCTGTTCCACGTCCTGGAATTCCTCCAATGACTCAAGCACAGGCTGTTTCAGCACCAGGTATTCTTAATAGACCACCTGCACCAACAGCAGCAGTTCCTGCTCCACAGCCTCCAGTTACTAAGCCTCTTTTCCCCAGTGCCGGACAGGTAAGGTGAAATTCCTAAAAAGGAATGCCACTTATATTAAAGGTAAAGTGTAGTTTACAGAAATCTCTGAAATTGTCATAGGTCAATTTTTATTTATGGTTTTAGTATAATTTATTAAGCATATTAAGAAGTGGTCTTTCGTGTTTGCATACATTGATTTTGTTGACTCATAAAAGATTGACTGGAGCCAGAGATAGTATGGTATGTTATTTTTTTTTTATTTCTGTGAACTCTGGTTATTCTAGTTTTAGTTAGAAATGAAAGTTTAATTTCTGGGGACTTAAATATGTGATTATATTTAGTGGTCCTCCTTTACCTATTGAATTATGAGTGGAATGAAAGCAAAGCCAAAGATGAAAATTCTAAGACATTAATAAGTCATTTGTTGGGCTCTTCTAGCCTACAAAAATGACAAACTACAATGCTGCACACTTGCTGAAAGGGCAACATTTAATTGCTCTTGACTTAGTCGCACTTACTTTCTTACAGATTTTGTCTCCAGAACTCAGAAGTGCAAAAGGTGCTTCTGTTATATTTGGTGTGCCTATAATGATTATTACTTTTAATAATAGTAATATTATTTAGAATTATCCAGTTTCATTTAGAATTAAGCAGATGTATTTAATTTAGAAAATTGGGGTGTATGTTTTTTATTTTTCAATTTAAGGTTGTCCCTTAGATGTTTCTTTTTTAAACTTTTTTTCCTATTTGTAGTTGCTAAATTAAAAACTACTTTTTAAATGCTTTTGAAGCACCTTAATTTATGCTTTTGAGGTGAGTAGGTATTTTATTAAGAGATGTTAAACTTAGGAAAAAAATTTTTGTGTCACTGATAGAGAATTGGATTAAAGTGTCAATCTTTACTCTCCTTTTAAGGTGTTTTTGAAATATCTCATTGCAAAACATTAATTTAGAAAAGAAACTGGTTAACTAGGTTTATTGGTGTAGAATTAAATCTTTTTTTGAGGCTCATACTGTCACTTTATTATAAATGCATTAACTGCCTGCCTCATTAAATAAATCAGATTTGATTGCATTATATTTTGCATTTACAGATATGCAATCTGTGCTAAAAAAAAAAAAAGTCTACCACATGGCTTATTTTTACCCATTTGTTTGGAGACTTTTCATTGTTTCCTTTCTTTTATGCTACAGATGGGGACACCTGTAACAAGCTCAAGTACAGCTTCATCCAATTCAGAAAGTCTGTCTGCATCTTCTAAAGCTCTGTTTCCTAGCACAGCACAAGTACGCAGGAAGTTGCAGTTTAAAGTTGTTAAAATGGCTTTATAACTTAACCCTTTGGACCCTACTTTTAAACGAAATCTTTTCCCTAAAAATATACTATGTAATTTTTATTAATTAAGATTAATGGAGTACAAATGAACCATATTTGAAAATTGAACTCAGAAAAAAAAATGAACCCCAAATTTCTATGGTTCTAAAGGGTTAAAAGCATGTAAGCAGTAAATGCCTTATAGTAGCCAATGGTTAGCCTGATGCATGATTAAGTTATTTTTATTTATGCTGTTTAATCGAATGCATCAATAATGTAAGGAAATTTGGTTCTAAAGTTGTGTTTTAGATGTTGGATATTACAAAAAAGTAACATTAATTATTGGTAATTTTATACTTAAAAGATCCTTCTAAACCATTTTGATCATGATAATCATCTAGCCATTGTTAATTGGGAGGACATGATATTACTATATTACTAATAACCTCTGAAGGACATTTTTAATGTGTTCACGATTTATATTAATTATGCTTAGTAACTGAAATTTATCCAAGCATTTGTATTTTATAATTTCTAACCATTTGGGGTTTTTGTTGTTGTTACTTGGTATGTTAGAATAGTAAAAGTAGAACATTAGCTATCTCATTAGATAATACTATAGTTCATCAACCTGGAATAAATACAAAGTTTTGTAAATGAAAGAACTTTGAGAAGGTAGATGACACCTGAGAAGTTAAATATTCTTACCTTTTTGTTGTTCCAATGCTGTGTTTTAGATGTGATCTTGACCCAGCATATTTTGATATTCTTATGTATTTCTTGATTTTTGTGGAGCATTTATCATGTTAACTTTGTTTTAATTTCATTTAGAGTTTGGTTCTTTATTGAATGTTGGTGTCTTATTTTTAAGTTGGTAGTAGATAGTTTTGGGTTTTGTTGATGAAATTTTGTTTTACAGGCTCAGGCAGCTGTCCAAGGACCTGTTGGTACAGATTTCAAGCCCTTAAGTAGTACCCCTGCAACAACTACAGAACCCCCGAAGCCTACATTCCCTGCTTATACACAGTCTACAGCTTCAACTACTAGTACAACAAATAGCACTGCAGCTAAACCAGCGGCATCAATAACAAGTAAGCCTGCTACTCTTACGACAACCAGTGCAACCAGTAAGTTGATCCATCCAGATGAGGATATCTCTTTGGTAAGTTGTTTACAGTTTTTTACTAGCAGAGTTTGATTGAATATCTTTGTAGCAGCCTGTCCCATTTGAAAAGTGTTGATTTGTAAAATGATGGTCTTACTAATCTGATTTAATGCTTACTAAGTGATTTTTACCATTCCGATTTTTATTTTTGTTATCCTTACCCAAAAATATTTTTCCCATTGATTTTTAGAGACAGTGGAAGGGTGAAGACATGGACACACACACACACACACACACACACACGAGGGATGGGGATTGAACCCACCACCCTTTGGTGCATGGGCAGGTGCTCTATCCATTGAGCCACACCGACCAGGGCCTGCTGTTCTGATTTTTTTTTAAGCAATTTTCTTTTGCCTTTTTAAATATTTTTATTGATTTCCTTTATTGAAGGGAGAGGGAGTGAAAGAGAGACAGAGAAATACCAGTGATGAGAGAATCATTTCTTAGCTACCTCCTCTATGCTCTTCCCTAGAGATTGAGCTCGCAACGTGGGTATATGTTCAGACTGAGAATCAAACCAGGACCTCCTGGCTCAACCATTGGGCCACACTGGCTGGGCCATTCTGATTTTTTAAAACCACAGAGTAAAATTTATTTACTTTATTTTTTTTTTTGAATAGACATTATTTATTTTATTTTTTTTTTTACAGAGAAGGGAGAGGGGTAGTCAGAAACATCGATGAGAGAGAAACATTGATCAGCTGAATCCTGCACAGCTCCTACTGGAGATGTGCCCACAGCCAAGGTACATGCCCTTGACCAGAATCAAACCTGGGACCCTTCAGTCCGCAGGCCGGCCCTCTATCCATTGAGCCAAACCAGTCAGGGCAATAGTGCATGTTTTGATCTTAGATGCATTTCCTCCCAACAGATTATTTCTGAAAGAAGACAATAAGTTCTTACTCTTAAAATTCATTTTAGTTAGACATAGATTTGTAAATTAATTGAAGAAAGAGTGAAGTGTGAGGTAGAAGACCATATACTTTGAAGACCATATTATCTTCTTCACAAGACACTTTATTGCAGAAACAATTTATAAATCCTAAAGTGGTTATCTGTGCTTCAAATACAAAAATAGATGGCTAGTTCTTAAAGAATCATTATTTTAAGTAGTTGAACTGGTTTGTGGGGCAAAAGTACTTGATTGGAAAATATAAGAATACTTTTTTAAAACTTTATAAATAAGGTCTTAGATGCTTGCCTTTATGCTTAATGAGTCTCTGTATTCATGTGTTTTAATGTTGTGCTTATTTTTTATTTTTAGGAAGAAAGAAGGGCACAGTTACCTAAATATCAGCGTAATCTTCCTCGCCCAGGACAGGCTCCCATTGGTAATCCACCAGTTGGACCAATTGGAGCTATGATGCCACCACAGCCAGGCATCCCACAGCAACAAGGAATGAGACCCCCAATGCCGCCTCATGGTATTCCACTTTTTATGTTTATTGTTTTTAGCAGATTTTTTTAATCTACACATAAAATAAATATGTCTGCAGAAGTTACTATTGTTAAAAGTACAATGCACGAACCAACTTAATCTATTTTTTGTATTTTAAATGTGTTTTTTAGGTCAGTATGGTGGTCATCATCAAGGCATGCCAGGTTATCTTCCTGGCGCTATGCCACCATATGGGCAGGGACCGCCAATGGTGCCCCCTTACCAAGGTGGGCCTCCTCGACCTCCGATGGGAATGAGACCTCCTGTAATGTCGCAAGGTGGCCGTTACTGATATCGCTTCATCCAATCTAATAGGTTTGGAGATTAAACCTTTTCTCAACTTGTGCTGTTTATATAGCCAAGCTTCCGTCAATAAGGCTTCATTGTGACTTTAACATTATCTTCCCACATACCAGGAACTATTGGACATTTATTTTACATGGGAAAAAATTATTTGGAATAATAAAGCAGGAACTTTTCCTGAAGTTGCAATTTATATTGTATGGCTTCTTTTTCATGTTTCATCTAGGTTTTTAGAAGTGAAGTATAGTAAATTTGGTTCGTTCTATTGTGAAGGCGCTGGAATTTCATGAACGTACCACCTTAATAAAGGCAAGTTCTGTAAGCTTACATTGCTATTTGTAAAGTTATGCCTTCACAGCATTTCAGATGCTGTTGGACTTCATGTCCCCAACCTAGCTTGGTGAGGGCTGTAACTATTTCCAAGTACCTGTACATTGGAAGTCTGAATGTGTAACAATATTTAATGTGTTTAGAATTCCTCATGTTGCAGGGTTTACGAAATCTGACCCACTAAGGTCATGTGACTTTTTCTGTACTGTTAAAACTTCATTGTAATAAAATGAGAGAAAAATTTATGCCTTTTTATTCATAACCCAGCTGTGGACCACTGCCTGCAAGGTTTGTACAGATGCATGTCATATTAGATGTCCACATAATAAAATTGATAGTTGCCAATGCAGTTTTGATATATCATTGGATTCTGTCTTTGAATTATAGGCTGTTCTTAGCTGCATGTTTTGAACTGGACAGTATATATAGAATTGTATGTTAGTGCTTTAGTTAACAGAAAACCTTAGATAAGTATGAGTCATTATGTAATGGGTATGAAATCTTTATACTGTGTCACCTTTTTACCCCCTTGATGTCAATACTTCTTAGACATCTTTAATATTTAAAATGTAATTCTTAATATTTCCTGCTGATGATATTTAGAGCCTAGTGCCAGACCACTCATTTCCTTCTGATTGTTTTTGAGACTGGAGCACTGCATGGACCTCAGAAGCTTTTCAGGTGCAATCTTCTAGAAGGTTGGCTACAAGCAGTAATTACTTATTGTGCTGTCAATGGATTAGTATATATTAAGTGTAATGTTGAGAGTCTATGCCTGTTAGGATAGTTAACAGGAGAATTTGAAATTTTTTATTACATTATACTATTTGGAGAACTATTATATAGAGTGACTGCTATTTAGTATTATTTTGTTGTAAGTCTGATAATGATAGCTTCTACTGACCATTTTTTGCATCCAGTGTTGTTATCATTTAAGGGTATGTTTATGCTTATTTAAATATCAGTGACCTTATTACTATAAGGACCTGAAGTTGAGGCTTTCCTCAATATAAAGTTTTAAAATTCTTAGAAAATGGTAACATTTCTTTTAACCTTTATGTGAAAGTATAGGTATAAGACATGTATTGCCAAGAATACATTTCATCTTTGTGCTGAGCTTCGTATACTGTTTCCCCTCCAGTGCCTGCCTACTGAAATAGTTTTAGAATTTGGCAGCACATCATTTATATTGCCAAAGAAAAACTTGTGTTGAAAAATCTTTGAGGTAAAAATGACTTGAACTTTCAAAAATTATGCAAAACTTTATTTGCATTTAATGCAAAGAGAACATATTTTATGTCACTGTCTTTTGCTTTTTGAAGTCTGAAGGGAGAAAATACTACTTTAAAGTAAGTAGTATAATTCTCATTAAAAGTTAACTTAGTAAAGTGTTGTGTATGACACTTTTAAAACTTAAGTACACCATCTGTGTTCCATAGGTATATTGCTCAGATAGTACTCACTTGATATATTCAAAGTATAATTTGTATTTGCATCAAAGCATAATTAGCTTCTAGAAAATATCTTTTACCTAACTGCTTCTGGGGTCCATGGTGGGGTTAAATCCTGAGTGGAACAAATTACATAAAATTAATCTTTTTTTGAAACATGCTTCCTTAATAATAGAGTTGAATTTAAGTAAAATTCATCTTACCTCACAAGAAACAACTTTTGGGATTTGATGTTTTCAGACAGGCATAATTGCCATAATTCAGGAAGTTGCAACATTAATGAGGCTGCCAGCTTTTGCTCTGCCTTGCATCCACACTTAATCGCCTTTTTTTCTTTTTTCTTTTTTTTTTTAACAAAACAAAAACGATTTAAACATTTGTCTGGCATTAGTTTCTATTGTATATTTATTAATACTGTATGGCAGTAACAAGATCAGCAGTTGAACAACTTTTGAGTGGCTACTGGCATTATTTGATTTGAGTACTTTTAGTAATATCTCACACATTTACTATTAGGATTGGGGAAAATAATCTTAGTGTGCTTCCATTCCACTGATAAGTTACATCCTGAACTTAAACTCAACTTAATTAAACAGGTGTGAGGGGAGAGAGCCCAACAAAAATAACTATGGTCTCAGTAGAATTATAGTGGGCAATAGGTTTTTTTGTTTTGTTTTTTTTTAAGAGCTACTTTTTCCCCCTTTGCTTGCTAGATCATTGGGATCTTTTAAAAATGCATGTCTTTTAAATTAATTGGGTAATGTTTTTCTAAAATTAAAATTTTCTTCTTCCTATAGCCCTGCCATAGGACAGGCTGAGGCTGAGTCTCAGTGTTGCCCTGTTCAGTCTGAGGCAAGTGGGATTTATTTTATTCCTTATAGGGGCTTTCACAGCTTGATGGCTGTTGGATATTTATGTCCCCAAACTTGCAGCAAGTTTGGTGAAGGCCCCTACGTTTAATTAAACGTAGGATTTTTATACTCTTTTGGCAGAGAAGGCTCTATATTAATATTCACATTTAACTGTGGTGTTAATAAAAATAATTAAGAACCAGAGAATATAAGTAATTTGAGTTATGTTATACCTAACAGCCCCAGTAAAGCTGGTATTGCAATATTGCAGTTTCATAAATTAACAAAATTTGACATTTTGATTTGGAGGCATGAAATATTTCAAACAAATTTCCCACTTTCAATTTTTAGGGAAATCTTACTGGTTACTTTCTCTTCAAACTATTAAATTTAAACTCAAGGATAAGTTTGATTGTTGGAAATATTACTGAGTACTGAAATACCGTACACATTTTTAACCCCAACGTTATGCATTGAACATTAAGGTTGAAAGGTCATCTGGAAATGCTTGTGATTTTTAATATTTTTCAAACCTCACCACATTAGAGCAAATGTTAATGTAGAGCCCTGGGAAAAGTGGGAAGGTGGTATGTGTGTGGTATGTATGCGTATACACTACACATTGGGTATTACAGACCTGTGAGTCTGGCTAGATTACTAATTTTCAGGTAGCCAAATGAAAATCGTACCATGAGGTAAAATTAGTCTATTGAACTATGGATTCAAATCAATTATTTTGAGGTTTATTTTCAGTCTTAGCAGTATCTTATACAATCTACATATGTGAGAAGTATCCATGTTTGTTTCCCAACTAAAGTTTAAATTGGCGAGAAAAGATATGTTTATGCCTGTATATTGTAGGGGGTAAAAGGGAACTGGAAGAGAGGCCAAAACGCAATGCTGGATTTTGTTTCTTCCTGTGTTTGAGTCACTATTCTATCCAGATAGCATTTTCATCTGAACAGTAACAATTAACATATAGTACAACATTTCTCACAAACCTGGTATTGTGTTTCTATATGGTTTTAATTCTTGGAAGCATAATGAAAAAAATGCATTAATTGAATTCCAAGTTTTCACCTGGTTAATTAACTTTCATGCTTTTCTCTGTAACTGAATCATGGGAGAATATATTTAAATGTTTGAATAGGAGAATTTTGTCCTGGAAGTATTCCACTGAAATATTTTATAATCTACTAAACAATTATACATTTTAAGACTCCATATTTGGAGTTGTTTTCTGTTGTATCACCATTTCCCAATATACTGAAATATAATATTTTAAGAGCGAAGCTGCTTATTCTAATAGCGGTCATTGAAATAATTATCATTCAAATAGGCTTTACATACTTGTACCAGAGGTAAGAGGGATTTTCTTACGGGTGGCATAATTTGTTGAAGATGATACAAAATATCTAATTTAAGATTTAGTTTTTTTGATATCTCTATAGTTCTGTGACTCAAATACGATTTTAATAATTACATAACTTTAGTGTGTTTATTTCAGCCACTGGGAAAACTTGATAAATATAAGGAAATGTTGAAGTTAACCTCTTCATTGAAATAAAATATATACTTGTATTGGTTAGGAGATTCTAAAAAATTTAACACGTACCCTAAAATTTGTATAAATAGGCATGTCTTTTTAAAAGGTGGTATTTACCTGTTTGTAATTTCAAAATGAAAATTGTTTTATCTCACTGTAACTATGGAAAAGTCTTCTAAAATGAGGGAGGGGTTCAGTTCGAAAACTGTTGACTATAAAGCAGATTTTTGTAAGTAAACATTTCCCCAATTATATTTCTGCTTGCTATCTCATGGCTTGAATATTAGTGAAAGGTACTGCTTTTTTTTAATCCTTAGTATTTTGTCATATTTTAATAAATAACCTTTTGTTTTTCTAGCATAGAAACTAAGTTTTCTGTGTGGTATTTATTAGCAAAATAAGAAGTTACTTTAGTGATGTATATACTGTTGTAAACATGGTAATATTCACAATTTTGTAATGCTGACTTTTCAGAACTACTAATATCTTAGCTCTAGATATCCCCTATTATGGATTTATTTAAAAATAATACATAGGATCTAGGGAAAGGCAGAACTTGAAGCTCCCTTACCTTCAACCTTTCCAAGTGTTTTCATATTCTTGACATTTTTGTTGGGAAATAAGTTTTAAAAGTAGAATTTTAAAAAAATTTCTTTAGTAAGGCTCAAAAGATAATTGTATTTTATTAACATTGTTTTTCTCCCCTGGGCTGTATACATTCTTGCTTGCATAATTTGGCCATAAAAGAAAAAGCTTCTCATTTTACCAACTCTGGAAAAATAATAGCTTAAAACGATTATAGTTTCATATT